TAATGGTGCCCAGGCAACCCTTGTGGAGAAGGGTATACTCATGTTGGTAAGGGTAACCTGATGGGAGAGCTTTTGGTATAAGTCTGACCACTTAAAGATTATACGAGGACTCTCCTACCCTGACACAATCAAAACCCTCTCCAGATTCCTTAATTGAGATAAGCCTGAGCTTAATGATATTAAGTTTTACCATTTACTTTTATTCTTTACCCTTTTGTAAGAGCAGTGTTCGAGAGATTCAAAGTTTGAGGCAGTCGCATCCTTATGAACCATCTACCTGACGGAGCTCCCATTACAGACCTGGCGTGTAACTGGTACCTTGGAATACACGCTCATATGAAGCATGAAGTTGTTAAGTAAGCTGGCATACCATTCCGAAGGGATAGTCCACTCAGGACCTGGAAAGGTTTCCATCAACATTCAGAGCACAGTCACGGAGGTGATAATATGAATCTGCATAAGAATCTTCATGAGTGGACTAACTTGGTAACGACCCCCAACCAGACTTGTCCCTACCTGGACCACATTATCGATCTGATGTACAAGCTGAATTACCCAGACTATCAACAGGTTAAGGATCAAGATAGGGTAGGGATAACCTCGGAGCTTCAAAAATCCTGCACGTTAAAGAGGCCCCACCGTGAAGCTCTCAATGATTACCTGTATTTACTTCTGCAAGTTGGTCACAATTTAGAATACAACACGGGTTTTGGACATCTTAATGACGAGAAGCCTTCAGACCCACGAGAGAAGCAGGACTAGGAAAGTCCGAAACCTACCAGAAGGTTCAAGTACCTGGAGAAAGGTTCCAGTTGGGAGGACAACAAGCTGCGGAAGAGTACTAATATTGCTGCGAGAAAGCAGGCAGGGATATCAGAGTATAATCTGGCTCTTCTGAACATTCCTTAAACCCTTACTGATAAACGATGCAACAATAAGTAATGCATAATGTGTGGGAGAGAAGCACACATCTGGAGACAGTATTCAATAACGTCCGCTGTCATTCATGCTGTGAGGAATATTACAGGAGTGAAATGGTCATGACCTACGGCCGAATCCTCGCCAAAGGGTAATAAGCAATTTAAGTGCATTGAATGGTCTCGTCCGCCGCCCTCTGGTCCTAAGCTCTTGGAAGCCAGCAAACCTTTTCCTACCATTATGGAGGTCGATACGGACCTCTAACAAGGTAAGAACCTAATCCTAAGAAGGAATAACATAGGCTCACTTTTCTAGACCAACGATGATCTCAAAGAGAAAGTGGACGGCCCCTCAAGTGGAACGGATTAAGGCAAGAACCAATCCATGTTGACTACCTCTTTAGTTCTGACAAAGTTCTTGATACAGTAGTATTGGAGACCACCTTGTCAGATAGATGTTATGGTTGCGCATAGTGTTGGGGTTTTTCCTTTTGGTCTTTGGGTTGTGTTATTTCTTATTGGTAATAAAGTATTTCATGTTAGACATTTTTGTAGGAATCACTTTTAGGCTTTTGCCTTGGACGAGGATTCTGCTCCAAGGGGTCACTCTGGAAAATACGAACTGCATGACATTCAGATGGGGCACAAAGATGCCCTGTTTGGTACCAGTTAGCTGGATGTCTCCGGGGAGCAAATCTATTTTCTTGTCGCATATGGATTGATTGCCTTGTAGGTTTGAATTGGTTGGGTTATTATTCTTGAATAAAAGTTATCTTTCAAGTTGACCTGATAAGGGTTTAGTACCCGAAATCATGCTGGTGTGATAGTAAACAGCACTCTAATCCCTTTGTTGATTAAAACTATTCTTGAAGACATTTACCAACCCATTGTGGTCGGTATTATGTAGAAAGACAACAGACTAGCAAGAATCAGTACTACGACACAAAGTAAGCAGGCGAGGCACTCTACTCTACTCAAACATAGCAAATAAATTCACCTCAGAGTGGCATTGGATTGGCGAATAGGGTGTAGGCAAGTAAGTGCCAAAGTGCTATTATTATTTGATTGTGGAGCTACTGGCTCTGTGCTAAGTAGTCAATGGGTAAAGAGTACCCAAGCTCCTTGTATGGAAAGAAGGATTCATACTCCAATACGTGATGTAAGTGGTAATCACATACCCGGATCGGGTCTTGATTATACCACTTACTTCCACATCAAGAGAGCTGATTACATGAATGGTGTGGGTTTCAATGTAGCAGAAATACCTGACACTTGTGTCGATGGCAATCTACCTATGTCGTACTTCAACAGCCACAATCAAGACATCAATTGAAAAGTAGGATCACTGACCCTGCCTTCAGACTTTTGTAAACCGAATTGGCTGATAGCGCAGAGGTGGTTAATATACATGACTGACCAAGAACTGTTAGCTGAAGATCCCGAGAATATACATTTTCTTAGGACGGTACCACTCTTGCATGAGAAAGGTAAAGATGTTAGAGTCCAACTCTTACCAGAGTATAAGGACTTTAGAGAGATCTTCAGTCAAGAAAGGATGGATACACAACCGGAATGTACCAAGTATCATGACAGAGTTGACCTAATTCGCAGAAGCACACCTCCCGTGGGCCCTATTTATCTAATATCGGTGAAGGAGCAACAAGGTCTCCCGGAGTTCATAAACGAAATCTTATGAACAGGGAAGATAGAAAGATCTACTTCCTCGTCCTCCACTCCTATACTTTTCATACCAAAACTAGATGGTAGCTATAGATTAGGGATAGATTACAGTAGACTAAGTAAGATTACAGTGAAGAACAGATATCCTCTCCTGCTGTAACGACCCTCCGTTATAGGGCTATGGTAACCTACGGCTATGCCCATAGATAAGACCAGGAGGTCAGATGGTAGACGAGGCAGGTATGCAGGCGCATATCCGGGGGATATCTGATGGTCAAGATATCCCTAAGAACAGAAGGTACTTAACGAAATGGTGTACCTAAGTAGTGGTAGTGACGTGACAATGTCCGGTCTGGCCTAAGAATAGGACAGAAGGCCGGTTGAGATTACCCGGTCTAAGGAAGTCATGTCACCCTACCATGGAGACCAGTTTCATGTTACCGTGGACATACTTACCCTACCTTTGGGACACTATGACTTTACCTTCCGTCAGAAACATTCTCGGAAGAATTTTGGGAAATGTTAGGATTGTTTGTTCCTCAATGACGATCGATAGACACTTGTTTGCGTTTTGATCGGAAGCCTACGGGAGGAGCTATAGTGCTCCAAACAACCTGTAACTTGGTAGATTTATTTCTAACAGGTACCTGCGGCCCCAGGGTTCGCCCCAGGGGTCATGGGCCAAATTAGGTGGAGTTGCCGTCTTACTAGGTAAATAGAGTTCACGGAGACATGTTCATAACACTGTAGACGTCGCTGCTGTCCGCCCAACTAGAGGCTGTTCGCAGGATATAAAAGGGGGTGAAGGTGAGAAGGTGAAGTACCTTCTCCAGAAAGAACGGAGTAAAATGGACCAAAGCTGACGGAGTTAGGGTGAGCTATACGGAAGGGTCCCCAGAGTAGTCCCGGGTAGTCCCAGAGATATCTGGAAAGGTTTTACGCCAATCAAGCCTACACGTGCCCCTTTGCTGTGGGCTCTTTGTGAGTTGTTTGAAGACTCCAATAGCATGATACTTATCATGCTGAGTGGTGTGCCTGGGGTAAGGGACCATGGGTAGCGCCCACGGGTCCCGCCACTGACACAGCTCGATGGGAGAGCCCCTTAGACCCTCTAAGTTCCTATTCAAGAAAGATAGAGCTTAGCCACGAGAGAGCTGATGTCTGCGGGACCTTGCATAGGTCATAGCACATGGGAGGAGAGTCATTTAGTTAGCTTTCCTAGGCGTCTCAACAGTTAGCCACTGACAAGACACTGATGCGCAGAGGTTTTCTCTCCAGCACCTGTATTGGTAAACACCTTGCAGGAACTGCTGTGTATATAGGAGAATTCTGCTACAGTGCGCTGACACCTTAGGGCCTTCGGGGACACTGTAATGGTCCCAGGGCAACCCTTACAGGGAAAGGGTATACTCATGTTGGTCTGGGTAACCTGATGAGGGAGTTTTTGGTATAAGTCTGACTACTTAAAGATTATACGAGAACTCTCCTACCCCGACACAATCAACATCCTCACTAGAGACTTTAATTGAGATAAGCCTGAGCTTAACGATATTAAGTTTTACTGTTTACTTCTTTTCTTTACACTTTTTGCAAGAGCTGTGTTCGAGAGATTCGAAGTTTGGTACAGTCGCATTCTTAGGATCCATCTACCTGAGGGAGCCCCCGTTACACCTGCTGATGAACAAATTGCAAGGCAGGCTCTGAAAGGCTACAGTGTATAGCACAATGGACCTGAAGTATGGGTATTGCACAATCCAAATAGCCAAAAAGGCCAAGGAAGATAATCAGTCCAATAAGGAACTCACAGCCTTTCATTGCGAGTTGCGATTATATCAGTTTGAGGTTATGTCCTTCAGACTATATAGCGCTCCTCCCACCTTCCAGAGTATGATTGATGACGTATTTCGAGATATGCTGGGAGAAGGAGTTGTTGCTTCCATCGATGATATCCTGATTTACTCTGGAACTATTGAGCAACATGTCTCTGCAGTAAGATGGGTAATGGAAAGACAGCGGAAGCATCGATTATGTGCAAATATAAAGCAGTTGTTCTTCCCCAGGCATGAGATTAAATTTCTAGATCATAGGATATCCGAAAAGGGAATATTCATGACCACCAAGAAGGTGGATTCTATCCTGGAATAGAAACCACCTACTAGCATAGTAGCAGTCCAAACCTTTATGGGCTTTGCTAATTTCAATAGAAGATTTATAGAAGGTTTTAGCAAGATAGAAAAACCTTGGACGGACCTCACTAAGAAGGATGTCAAATTTCCTTAGACTCCCGCTTGTGGAAACGTTTTCAATGAATTGAACAACACCTTTACCTTGGGACTAATCCTAGCCGACTTCCATCGTGTCCACCAGACTGAGATAGAGATGGATGCACGTGACTTTGTATGAGGTGCTGTACTATCTCAGTTCTGTGAAGATAAGAAGTGGCACCCAGTGGCCTTTCATAGTAGGAAGTTCCACCTAGCTGAGTTAAATTATGATGTACATGGTGAAGAAATGACTGCCATAGTAGCCGCTTTCAAGGACTAGGGACATCTGTTTAGGTCGGTAGAGAGTCAAATCTGGGTTTACACCGATCACAAGAATTTCAAGTACTTTAATTGTACTAAGACCCTCAACCGCCAACAACATCACTGGGCAGAATTCCTCCAGTGGTTCAATTTCAAGGTAGTTTACAGTAAAGAAAGGCTGAAAACAAAGGCAGATGCACTGTCAAGGCATGGAGACCACCGCCCTGAAGGTGGGAGTAATTGTTTTTAAGAGACACTAAATCCATTTTTTCACACAGGACAATGGATTGTGGATCAAGAGCGAGACCTCTAACGGCCGCACATATTGGTAGTCTGTTATGGCTACCAGTTACAATCAGCATTTCTGCATGCATTAGGTATTGCTGCAAAACAGGATCCTGTCTATATGAAGGACTTAAAGCCTGCATAAGCAGAAGCCTAAGGAGTCGACCGAAACTTGACAATAGAATGAGATCTCCTCCTGTGTAAGAATAGGTGGTATATTCCAAATGGGCAGGATGTGAAGGATAAGATGATTGAGGCCGAGCATGACTCCTGTATTGCAGCACACTTTGGGACATACAAGACAGTAGGCAGGGTTAGGGGTAATTTCTTTTGGCCTAAGATAGATGAGAGTATTACAGACTATGTTGATACATGTGATGTCTGTCAATGGAACAAGTCCATTAAACATAAGAAGTTTGGCTTGTTAGACGCTGACGGAGTACCTTTGAGGCCATAGACCGATATCTCAATGGACTTCATAGTAGCACTACCAGAATCAGAAGGGTATATCAAAATTTAGGTAATCGTGGATAGATTTTCAAAGATAAGACACTTTATACATTTAGCCTCCAAAATTCCCAGAAACGATTTGGCTGTGATATTCCTGAAGGAAGTTTGGTGGCTCAGTCGGCTTCCAGAATCTGTTATCTGCAACAAAGATAGCAGATTCACATCCAAGTTTTGGACAAGGCTAATGCAATCATTGCAATTGAAATCACGGTTATCAACTGGGTTCCACCCGGAGCCTGATGGGCAGAGTGAGCGGGTGCACCACACCTTGCAATAATACTTAAGAAATTATTGTTCAAGTTCATACTAACAGGATTATTGGGCATCGCTACTACCCGTGGAGGAGTATGCATACAATACATCCACCTCCCAGTCAACTAAGTTATCTCGGTTGGAAATCAAATATGCCTTTAACCCCCAGGCCAACTGGTTGGGTAGAGTATCGGAGCAACAAGGTATTCATTCCAATAGGAACGTGTTAGTTAAGAACTGGGAAGGTGTTTGACAAGAAGTTTGAGATATGCTTAAGTGAGCTCAAGCAAGACAAACAAAAGGGCATGACCAGAAACGGTTGCCAGCAGTGGAATATGTTACAGTGGAAGACATGACTAATGGAAGGGCAAAGAAGGCTGATCACCTGATGCTAAAACGAAAGAACATCTGCAGAAAGGTACCTATGGAGAAGCTGAACCAGTGAATGTTTGGGCCCTTTATGGTCGAGGGGGAGGTTGGAAACCAAGCTTATGAACTCATATTGCCTGTCCGTTGGTCTCTCTACCCTGTATTCAATGTGCGAGTCTGAGAACCCTATCCTGAGGACCCAAGTAGTAAAAGGACTAAGGAGGTCCCAGTTCCAGAGAAAGTAGATAATGAGCCCAGCTAAGTTATTGAGGCAGTTGTCGATAGTCAATGGTATGGCCACATGAAAGCCAAGTTTCCTAATCACTTTGTGCAATACCCAGTTTCATGGGAAGGCTGTGGTATAGAGGAAAACTCTTGGGATCCCACTCAGATGCTGGAAGGCATGTTGTAATGGGGGCTCCCTCCGGTAGATCGTTCCTAAGGATGCGACCGCACCAAACTTCGAATCTCTCAAACACAGCTCATACAAAAGTGTAAAGAATAAAAGTAAACAGTAAACGTTAATATCGTTAAGCTCAGACTTATGTCAATCAAAGTCTCTGAAGAGGATGTTGATTCTGTCGGGGTAGGAGAGTTCTCGTATAATCTTTAAGTAGTTAGAGTTATACCGACAACTCCCCCATGAGGTTACCCCGACTATCATGAGTATGCCCTTCTCCGTAAGGGTTGCCCTGGCACCATTACTGTGTCCCCGAAGGGGCTAAGGTGTCAGCGTACTCTAGCAGAATTCTCCTATATGCACATCAGTTCCGGCAAGGTGTTTACCAATACACCTGCCGGAGTGAAAGCCTTGGGACATCGGTGTCCTGTCAGTGGCTAACTGTCGAGACGCCTAGGAAAGCTAACTAAATGACTCTCTTCCCATGTGCTATGACCTATCAAAGCTCCCGTAGACATCAGCTGTCTCCTGGCTAAGCTCTATCTTTCTTGAATACGAACTTAGAGGATCTACGGTGCTCCCCCCTCGCACTGTGTCAGTGGCGGGACCTGTGGGCGCTACCCATGGTCCCTTACCCCTGGCACACCACTCAGCATGATAAGTATCATGCTATTAGAGTCTTCAAACAACCCACAAAGAGCCTACAGCAAAGGGGCACGTGTAGGCTTGATTGGCATAAAACCTTCTCAGATGTCGCCAGTACTACCCAGGACTACTCTGGGGACCCTTCCAGATAGCTCCCACTAACTCTGTCAGTTTTGTTCTGTTTTACTACGTTCCATTCGGAGAAGGTACCAGACCTTCGCACCTTCACACCCTTATATATCCTGCGAACAGCTTCTGGTCGGACGGAGGGCAGCGACGTATCCTGTGTTACGGACATGTCTTTATGAACTCCATTCAACTAGTAAGATAGCAACTCCACCCATTTTGGCCCATGACGCCCGGGGCGATCCCTGGGGCCGCAGGTACCTGTTTGGAATAATTCTACCAAGTTAGTGCTTGTTTGGAGCACTATAGCTCTATCACGTAGTCTTCCGAGCGTAGGGCAATGAAGTGCCCGTCAATAGTCATTGCGTAACAAACAATCCTAACAGTTCCCGAAATTCCGGCGAGAATATTTCCCACAGAAGGTAGCGTAATAATGTCCTAAAGGCAGCGTAAATATGTCCATAGTGACACGAAACTGGTCTCTATGGTAGGGTCACGTGACTCTCCTAGACAGGGTAAACTTACCCGGCCTTCCGTCCTAACCTTAGGCCGGAGCGGACATAGTCACTCTACTTCCACTACTTAGGTACATCTATTCCTTAAGTACCTTCTGTTTTTTAGCATATCCAGACCATCAGATATCACTTGGACATGCTCTCACATGCCTGCCTCGCCTACCGTGTTACCTCTGGGCATTACGTATGGGTGTAGACTTAGATTGCCATAGCGCTATAACGTAGGGTCGTTACATTACTCCCCTCTTCTCTAAGGACTGACCCGGTCCGCTAAGGTCGTCTTTTATTTCCCTGATTCGGTTCACCTACAACCCTATGGTCTCTGGGTTTATGGGGATACCGATGATGGAAATCCATCATTGCTTTTAAGCCAGTACCTTCTTGCATCTCATATGGCTCCCAAGAGTTCTCCTCTGCGCCATAGCCTTCCCATGAAACTAGGTACTGTACGAAGCGATTTGGAAATTTCGCTTTCATGTTTGAATACCATCGACTGTCTACCACTGCCTCAATAACATAGCTCGGCTCATTGTCTACTATCTTGGGGACTGGGACTTCCCTACTCCTTTCATCATTTGCGTCCTCACGATAGGGCTCTAAGAGTTCGACATTGAATACCGGATGGATTGACCAATGAGCAGGTAATTGGAGTTCATAAGCCCGGTTTCCGACCTTACGCTTGACCACAGAGGGCCCAAACATTTGGTGGTCCAGCTTCCCCATAGGTCCCTTAGTGCAGATGTTCTTTCGATTTTGCATCACACGGTCAGCCTTCTTTGCCCTACCATTTATTACATCTTCCATCATAATGTATTCCGGCAATGGCAATTGTTTCTGGTCATGCCACTTCCGTTGTCTCTCTTGAGCTTGCTTAAGTGTATCTCGGACTTCTTGCCAGACACCTTCCCAATTCTTTACCAATAGTTCTCTACTGGGATGAACACCTTGGTCCTCCGAGACTGTTCCCGACCGGTTCGTCCTTGGGTTAAAGCCATAGTTGATCTCCAACGTAGATAACTTGGTTGACTCGGAGGTAGATATATTGTATGCATATTCCGCTAAAGGTAGTAGCGATGCCCAATCATCTTGCTGATAGGAACAATAATTTCTTAAGTACTATTCCAAGGTCTGGTTCACCCTTTCAGTCTGCCCATCAGTCTCAGGGTGAAAAGCAGTCGATAACCGTAGTTTCAGTTGCAAGTGTTGCATCAGGCTTGTCTAAAACTTGGATGTAAATCGGCTATCTCTGTCAGAGATAATAGATTCTGGGAGCCCATGGAGCCGCCAAATGTCCTTCAGGAACATTAGAGCCAGATCCTTTATGGGAACTTCTGTGGCCAAAGGTATAAAGTGTGCCATCTTTGAGAATCTATCCATGATTACCCAAATTTTGGTATACCCTTCTGATTCCTGCAGTGCTACCATGAAGTCCATTGAGATGTCCGTCCACGGTCTCAACGGTACTACAACGGGTTCCAACAAGCCAAACTTCTTATGCCTAACGGATTTGTTCCGTTGAGAGACATCGCATGTGCGAACGTAGTCCGTAATGCTCTCATCCATCTTAGGCCAAAAGAAATTAGCCCTAACCCTGCCTACTATCTTGTATGTCTTAAAGTGTCCCCCAATACGGGAGTCATGTTTGGCTTCCATGATCCTATCCTTCTGCTCTTGTGAGTCTGGAATATACTACCTATTCTTGTATCGGAGAAGGTCTTTCTCTACACTAAGATTCTTGTACAGAAGCGTAGTTCTCTCTATTGTCAAGTTACGGTCGACATCTTTGTCTTTCGCTAACACAGCCTTTAAGTCCCTCATATAGATGGGATCCTGTTTTGCACCAGTATGCAACGCATCCAAAAATGTCGATTGCAACAGATAGCCTTGACAGGCTACCAATGAATAAGGATGTAAGAGATCTCACTCTTGTCCCACAACCCATTGTCCATGGCGAAAAAATGGCTTTGGTGTCTCTGACAGAGAATTACTTCCCCCTTCAGGGTGGTGGTCTCCACGCCTTAACCGTGCATCTGCCTTGGTATTCAGCCTTCCTTCTTAGTAAACTACCTTGAAATTGAACGGCTGCAGGAATTCTGCCCAGCGATGTTGCCGGCGGTTGAGGGTCTTAGTACTATTAAAGTACTCCAAATTCTTGTGATCGGTGTAAACCGAGATCTCGCCCTCTACCGATCTAAACAGAATGTTCCCATTCCTTAAAAGCTGCCATGATGGTAGTCATTTTATTGTCATGCACATCATAATTTGTCTCAGCTGGGTGGGACTGCCTACTATGAAAGGCCACTGGGTACCACTTCTCATCTTCACAAAACTGAGAAAGCACGGCACCCAATACAAAGTCACTTGCATCTGTCTCTAGTTTGGTCTGGTGGGGAGGATCAAAGTGTGCTAGGATTGGTCCCGTGGGAAAGGCTTTCTTTAATTCATAGAATGCCTTATCACAAGCAGGGGTCCAATCAGATTTGATATCCTTCTTAGTGAGGTCCATCCAAGGTTTCGCTATCTTACTAAACCCTTCCGTGAACCTTCTATAGAAGTTGGCGAAGCCTATAAAACTTTGGACTCCGACAAGGCTAGTCGGTGCTTTCCATTCTAGGATAGAATCTACCTTCTTGGTAGTCATGGATATTCCCTTCTCGGATATCAGATAACCTAGGAACTCAATCTCACTCCTATGGAAGCACGACTTCTTTATGTTTACACATAGTCAATGCTTCCTTAACCTCTCCATGACTCGCCTTACGAGAGAGACATGTTCTTCAATTGTCTCAGAGTAAATCACGATATCGTCCATATAAGCGATGACTCCTTCACCCAGCATATCTCGAAATATGTCATTTATCATGCTCCACAAGGTGGCGGGGGCATTACATAGCCCAAATGGCATCACTTTAAATTGATGTAGTCCTAATTCACTGCGAAAGGCGGTGAGTTCCTCATGCGAGTGAGTATCTCCTATGGCTTTCTTAGCCATTTGGATTCCCCAATACCCATTCTTCAGGTCCATCAAGCTATACACTGTAGCTTTAGACATCCTGCCTCGCAACGCGCTCATCAGCGGGAGAGGACATCTATTCTTCTCCATGATTTTGTTTAGTCCTCGGTAATCTATTACGAATCTTAAAGTACCATCTGGTTTTGGTACAAAAGGTATAGGAGCCGAGGATGAGAAAGTAGACCTTTCTATCTTCCCTGTTCTTAACATCTCGTTTATAAACTCCTTTAGAGCTTGTCGCTCTTTTACCGATATCGGATCGATAGGCACGAAGAGAGGTGTACTTCCAGGAATTAAATCAATTCTATGATTATACTTCATGTGTTCAGGTTGTGCTTCTATCCTGTCTTGACTGAAGATGTCTCCGAAGTCCTTGTACTCTGGTAAGAGTTCGACTGTTACATCTTCACCCCTCTCATCTGAGAACTGTACCGTCCCTAGAAAATATACGTTTTTGGGATCTTCGGCCAACAGTTCTTCATCGGTCAGGTATACTAACCGCCTCAGCTCTGTTAGACAGTTCGCCTTACAGAAATCTGAGCGCCAGGTCAGTGATCCTACTTTCCAATCTATGTTGGGGTTATGATCTTTTAACCACGACATTGGAAGATAACCATCAACTCTAGTATCAGCGGGATTAGGCTACCTCGAAGCACATACCATTCATATGATCACCTATCTTCAAGTCCAACCATTTGGTATAATGAAGACGTGATCCTGGTATGTGGTTACCGCTTGCATCCTTTATTGGAGTATGAATCCTTCTTCATACACCGGGAGCCTGCGTACTCTTAACCCATAGACGACTTAATACGGGGCCAGTAGCTCCACTATCTAGTAACAACAGCACTTCGGCACTTACATGCCTACACCCTATACGCCAATCTCGTGTCACTCGTAAGTGAATTCACTTGCTATGTTTGGGTGGGCTTGAGTGCCACGCTTTCTTGGTTTGTCTCACGGTACTCATTCTTGCTAGTCTCTTGCCTTTCGACACAAGAGCGGCCACAACGGGTCCGTAAACGTTTCAAGAATAGTTTTAATCAATAAGAGGAATTGGAGTGCTGTTTACTATCCCGCCAGCATGATTTCGCGTACTAAACCCTCCTCAGGTAAACTTGAAAGATAACTTTTATTCAAGACTAATAACCCAACCAGTTCAACCGTACAAGACAAATGACCCATATAGGACAAGAAATACATTTGCTCTCCAGAGACGTCCAGTCAACCGGTGCCAAACAGGGGATCTTTGTGCCCCATCGGAATGTCGCGTGGTTCCTATTTTCCAGAGCGACTCCTCGGAGCCGAATGCTCATCCAAAGAAAAAGGTAAAAGTAATTCCCCCAGAATATCCAAGTATGAAAAACATAAGAAATAACAAAGTCCAAGAACATAAAGGAAAAAACTCAAACAACGTGTGCGACCATGACATCTACCTGACTCAGTAGTCTCTCAATACTCCTGTATTGACGACTCTGTCAGAATTGAAAAGCTGGTCAACCCGGATTGGTTCTTATCTTAATCTGCTCCACTTAAATGACCATCCTTCCTACGAGATCTTCATTGATCTAGAGAGGTTAGCCTATGTTATCTCCTTCTTTGCATTAGGTTCTTGCCTTCACCGAGGTCCGTATCAACCTCCATAGTAGTAGGAGAAGGTTTGAGAGCTTCTAAGAGCCTGGGACCAGAAGGTGGCGGACGAGATGCTTCAATGTACTTTACTCGTTTATTGCCAGTCGTAGAGGATTCCACCTATGGGTGTGACCGTTTCACTCCCGCGGTATTCCTCACAGCATGAACCACCGGGGAGGTCACCGAACACTGTCTCCAGAAGTGTCCTTCTCTCCCGCACTTGGTACATTGCTTATTGTTGCGTCGTTTATCAGTCAGGGCCTGAGGGATGTCTCGGTGAGCAATTGCATACTCAGATGTCCCTGCCTGCTTCCCAGCACCAACATTAGCGGTCTTCCGCACCCTGTTGTCCTTCCAACCCGAACCTTTCCCCTTCTTCTTAAACCTTCCTGTCAGTTTAGAAGTTTCCTTCTCACGTTTCTCTCGTGGCTTCGCAGGTTTGTCATCGTTGAGATGTCTGAAAGGTTTATCGACTCCGAGATTATGACCAACTTGGCGAAGCAAATCTAACTAATCGTTTAGACTTTCGGGGTGAGGTGTTATTAACGCCCCTGACTTCCGAAGCTCAGATGTTATCCACGCCCTAACCTTATCCTTTACCTGCTGGTGGTCTGTGTAGTTCAGCTTGTACATCAGAGCGATAACCGTATCCAGGTAGGGACTGCTCTGGTGGGAGGACATCACCAAGTTGTTCCACACGAGAAGATTCTTATTCCGATTGACGTATTCACCTCCATGACTCTGCTCTAACCGTTCACGGAAACCCTTCCATGTCCGGAGTGGACCATTCTTGTTGAACGGCATACTGGCTCATTTGGCAGCTTTACGGTTGATGTGTGCGTGTATGCCCAGGTACCAGTTTTGGGCTTGGTCTTTGAGAAGAGGTATCACCAAGTTGAGCTTATCCATGTCTGTCAGACGGCAATCAGAAAAGTACTCAAACTTGACTTCGACCAATGTCATAAAACTAGCCAGATCAGTAACAACTCCCTTGAACGTGGGAATGCGGCTAAGCTTCTCCGGCTTCCTTCGTCTTTAATGTAACGAGGACCGAGACTGGTTTTGCAACCGTTCTTGTATTGCTTCTGCCTGATGGTCATATCGGTCTTCCTTCTCGTTATTCCAGCCAGTAGGGCGTGGTCCCAGAAACGGTGTGACATCGGGTAGGGAATCGGCATCATCATCACAGCTGTTATTAGGGTGGGAATCACCCGGGTCCCCTCCGCCAGCCGTAAAAGATCCGCCTCCGGGAGGCTCATTTCCACTCCCGCTGCCCCTGGCATTGCCACCGAAGGTTTCCCTTGGCCTCTCATAACCATCTGGTCGCTCGTCTTGACCACCACTGTTCCCGTCATCCGGAGGACCCCCTACTGACGGTGCTTGTGGTGGCACTAAGCCTGCTAGCTGGTTACTCCCCGACGGTATTGGGTTTGGCGCAGCCTGCGACACCTTTAACCATTCAACAACTGCCGGTCAGGTCTCTCGGTGTGTTAGAGGTCTTTCATGACCCCTCTTATTGCAATACCCACATAGGGGTTCCTCCTTTCCTTTTCCCTTATCTTGTGTAGCCACTGGTGGTGGGCCCCCCGGTACCTGCAGCGGTGGTGGATGACAAAAGAAGTCATGTCGCCCGCCGTATCCCGGGCATCTGGGGTGACAGAAAGGTCCTCGCACTGGCAGTGCTGGCCCGAACCCAGAAAATCCAGCATTGCCCAAAGGTTTAACCAGTGCTGTAGGCACATGTACCTGTGGCCGGTTGGGTTGATGGGGCGTCACCGCAATAGGGACACGAGTGCCTTGGGAGACTGTGGCAGGACGTGGGTTCCCTCTTCTGACATTA